TCTTTCCTTATATCCTAGCCACCCCGACTGGTACCAACCCCCAAACAGGTCTTTTTTTTTTTAACCTTCCTGTCCTTCATTTTTAAAGAAAAAAGACATTTTTGCTTGTTTATGGTGGCTATACAGGGAGTTTCATTGTGACATTTCCTACTTTGGATTGGTTCATCCCCACCATTATCCATTTTTCTACCATAGTTCTCTTCTTAGTGTGAGACCCCATATCAATGGAAAAAGCTGGGTGTGGTGGTGCACACCAGTCATCCCAGCTACAGTGGGAAGCAGAAATAGGAGGATCTCAGTAAAGGACAGTCTGACAAAAAGTGGGACCCTATCTCAAAAATACCCAACAAAGAAAAGGCTGGTAGAGTAGCTCAAGTGGTAGAGTGCCTGCCTAGCACACACAGACTCAGTACTGCCAATGTGTGTGTGTGTGTGTGTGTGTGTGTGTGTGTGTGTGTGTGTTCCTGATATTTCCCTTTTCCTTTTAAAAAACATTTGCATAGAACGTACTATACTATATGCTAGGCAGCATTTTACATTCTCTATAAGCATTGTATCCTTCATAAATTTCACGTATATTATTGAACCTTCTTAATTCTGCAAAGATTATTATTATTCCAGTTTTTCAGATAAGGAAACTGAGGCAAAGAAATATTAATTAATTTGTCCAGTGTTACAATTTAGTGGACCAGAAATTCAAACCCAGACACTGGCTTTAGAGATGATACTCTGAAACATGAGTTACTGTAGTGTCTCTGAAGAATAAATCCTAGAACAGGAAAGAGTGGGCCACACGTTTAACCTTAGGGGCCTCATGGTATATTTTACTACATTCATTCCAGAATAATAGACAAGTTACTTTCCTACCAGCAGTGAAACAGCTTGGAAATTACAGTGCAACTTAAACAACAGACTTTGTTTTCCCAACTTGGAAAAATATGTTAAATCTCATTGCCTTAATTTTAACTTATATGAATAGTATTGGTAGTAAACATTTAAAATTTTGATTATTAACAATTTGTTCTCTAATTTTAAAAATTGTTCTATGTCAATTATTTAATTCTGCATTTCTTTTTTTTTTCTTCTGGCAGTACTGGGGTTTGAACTTGGGCAAATCCTCTGCCACTTAGCCAACCCTGCACATTTCTTTATTCAATAACTATACATTTAGTGACCAGTATGTGGCAGACACAACTAAAAACATATAAAGAATTCCTTTGAAAAAAAAACAGATAAAACCACTGACCTCAAGATGTTTATATTTTACATGGGGAAAGACAAATGACAAACAACAAATATAATAACTATAGAGTACACTATAAATAATAAGTTCTATGAGGAAGAATAAAAAGCAGGGTACAGAGGTTGGGAGTGGCAGGGCTGCTGGGCACAACTGTAAACAGGATAGTAAAGATAGATTTCATCGACAAAAAGACGTTTGAGTAAAATCTTGGAGGTGAGAAAGTTATTTATGGTTGTTTCAAGAAGGGAAAAGTCCCAGGCAGGGAAAACATCCAGTGCATTAACACAGGAGTGTAGTGATAAGAAGGAACATCTTACCTGGGGTGTCCTAGAACCTCAAAGGAGTCCTGTGAGACTGGCACTAAGTGACTAAGTATAGCATGATATGACCTCTTCTTAAAGGGTAACTTTGGACACTGTATAAAAAATAAATTATAAGGCATACAACTAAAAGCAAGGGAATGGTTAAGAGGCTATTAAAAAGTGTTAGCAGAGACAGTATAGATTAGTCAAGTTTGTAACAGCAATAGACAGGGAGAATGGCTGAATTCTGGCTGTGATTAGAATTTAAAGACAAGGGATTTCACTTTGGGATGTGAAGTGTGATACAAAGGCTCAAGTCTATGACATGGATGAACTCAGACTTTTTTACCTAAACAACTTGAAGAATAGTTCTATGTTTCTACTGGAATTATTTTGTTTAAATTACTTATACATAAGTCGTTTAAGGCTATTTATGTTATAAATATTACAAAAGTTCTTCCCAGTTTATCTTATTTTTGTAAATGATATCTGTGACAAATAAGACTTTCTCTTTTAGATTTTATATTTTATTGTAAGCAAACAGATTAATGTTCTTCATTCAATTTTATGTTTCAGCTTTCATTTGGTGCAAATGCAAACAAACTTTGCCGTATCTAGAACTAATATTGACATATGAAGTAAAAATGTCAAACTCTTTTTCACTTGTCAAACATTTAGTGTACTGTCATTATTTAGTGCTGTTCTTATCATCTACAAAATTCTGATTGAGCATTTTCCATTAATTCCATTAAATTGCATTTACATTCCTCTACAGGTTTCAGGTACTTATTTCTGTTTTAGATATGATTTAGTGTTTCATAGTTAACATCATAAACATTATACTCATTAATGAAATAATTTTGGTTCATCTTAGAATTTTGAATTCCAGATTAGTTAGGAAGAGTTAAGCGTTATTACCTTTAGTTTCATTTGGAGTCATGTTAAGTTTATAACTGCATTGAATAAGAGTTCCTATTTGCTGCAACATTGAATCTTCTGTGCTATGATGATTTTGTAGTATTTGCAGAATCCTCTTTGTTATCAAATTTTTAAAATAAAATTTGTAAGTGTGAGTTTAAATGTTGATCTCTTTATTTCCTGGTCCTTAGATCATTGTTTCCATTCAAGTTCTATATTTTCTTTAGTTTTTCAGTGGGGAAATTTTCTTTTATTATAGCTGCAGTGAGTTGTTCTGTCTTTTCTTTTGCATATCAGTTATTTTCTGGTGTATCTTTTACCTAATCTTCTCTATCATTTACATGCCCTTAATCAGTAGGTAATTATGAAGTGTATTGCCCACACTATTGACTGAAACTTCTCTTTACTGTTTTTAATATGGAAACCAAGTTTGATGTTGATTTCAGTTATTGAATTCATCCTGCTCTCTCATCTGCAATTGGTCATCTCACCATGTCGCTCATCACCTGTCCATTCATGAATTTCTGTTTTTTAAATACGATTGAGAATATTGAGCAATATTTTATGTAATTTCCTTCTATTTCTTATAAGACATTTAAGAAGTAAATCAGATTTCTAAAAGGTTTTTAATTTTTTTCTTTCTTGTGTTTCTAATGGTGAATTAGAAGAAGAAGGTCCTATTTTGTTATTATTGTCATGTTGTGTTATTCCTGGTCAGTTCAACTTAAATGATAAGACAATATCTAGCAGAGTATTTTCAGATCATTCTTGGGTTGTGCTTGTTTTCTTTTTCTGTCCATATGTATGGAACTAAATTTCCTGTATCTTTTCTGTAGTTCAGAAAAGTGTGGGTAGGGAAGACAAGGGCAAATGATGGCGCTATATGCTTAGCTTTTGGGGACTGCAAATGTAACTTCTACTTTGGTGGAGTGGAGCATTTGCATCCTTGAAATATAAATACATAATCCTAGTTACTTAGAAGGCTGAGATCAGGAGGATAACAATTCTATGCCAGTCCAGGCTAGTAGTTTCAAGACTCTATCTTCAAAATAACCAGAACAAAATGGACTGGATCTTTAGTGTTTTTTAACGCTTCACAGAAGTGTTGTTCATAGAAATAGAAATTCATCTGAAGAAAGTGTGTATAGCAATACCATGAGGGCAAAGATACTGGGAAAACCTCTGTGGTTTTTATAATATGGAACTCAGAGTCACATTTTTATTAGTGCGTGTATTAATTGTATAAAGTAGTGGGTTTCATTGTAACATTTTCATGTATGCATGTAATGTATTTTAATCTTACTCACCCCCATTACCCTTAGTTATCCCCCACCTCATTCCTCTTCCCTGATAGTCCTGCTTCGACAGGATATTTTTTTCTTGATTTTACATATGAGAAAACATGTGACTCTTGTCTTTCTGAGTCTGAATTACTGTCTTAACATGATCTCCAGTTCCATCCATTTCCTACAAATGACATGATCTCTTTCTTCTTGATGGCTGAATAATACTCCATTGTGTATATAAACCGCATTTTTTTTTATCTACTCATCTGTATACCGGCACTTCCATAACTTGGCAATTTTAAATTGTGCCATGATGCAGGCAGATATCTCTTGTGTATACTGACTTTGAATTATTTGGCTTTATACCCAAGGAGTGGTGTAGTGAATCATATGGTTGTTCTTACTTTAATGTTTTGAGGAATGTCCAAACTGATATTCATAGTAGTTGGACTAATTTACACTCTCACAGTGTATAACATCTTTACCAGTATTTTAAAATAGCTTATTAAATTGGTGTAAAAATGCTGCTAGAGCCAATCAGCTTCAAGACAATGATCTCCAGACAATTCAGATGTTTAATATTTTAATATAAATGGAGATATTTGGACTATAACTTACAAACTAAGACAGGTGACTACAAAATATAAAGTGAAAGACTCAGCGTCTCTTCATGCTGTGATCCAATATATCCTAGAGGCAGGATGCCATCAGTGTTTGTGTTGTTGGGGTTGCATCTCCAGTGACCTGTAGAATCTCAGCTACAACAGATGCAAGTGAGATTTCTTCTTTCACCAACAAAAGAATAATAAAGTTGTGAGAAAGAAAGATCACCAGAAGTCATGATGAATTATATCTCTTGTGACCATGGTGCCATTTTAAAATTTTCAGCCATTGGACAACATTCAAATGGTTGTACAAAATTAATATCAACCACTCCGAAGTATGTATTATATAGAATAAATACTTGATAAACCTCTAAGGAACATACTTGTCTCACTTTTTCATTTCTGCTATATCTTATGAAATGATTTTGTTTTCTCTTTGCCTGGGTAATGTGATTCCAAACTAAATTTCATCTAAACAAAAAAAGTGTATTTCATACCTTTTTGATATTCTAATATCCATGTATAATATAAGCTGAAATAAAGAATAAATCTATATTCAAATACATGGTTTCTTAAACCATTACTTAACAAAATACCATTTTCAGGGTAAAGATAACATTCTGATATCAAAGTTTAGTCTTCTTACCTTTCTGGATATGTAAGTGATTTTAACATGAGACTCTGGATCCTGTATTGGCAATAGGGACATTGCAGATTGGAGCTAGGGAAATACGCCATAACGATGCTTGAAATATTTGTAATATCATTTAAAAACTGAGCAAGAATATTGACTTCTTGAAGTTTATCAAATGGCTTGCTTTTCCTAAACAGAAAAATTTACACATTTAGCATATTAACAATTTTAAATACTTTTATTCTAAAATCAATATAATCCCAGTGAGACAGGATACAGAAAACAATCTCAACTAAAAAGGCAAATGAAATGTTTGTCAAAATATTTATTGAAATAATTTGAACAGTCTTTATACCAGAATACGATAGTAACAATGTATGCATTTCCATATACAAATATTTTGGAAATACTTTTGGGAAAATAGTGAGATACCTTGTCTTTCTGTGTCAGTACCTCAATTGTACATGTATCTTGTATTTCTTTTTTTTTAGACCCTTCTTCACTTGTCACAGTTCCTTGAATAGACTAAGAGTTCAAATAATTCTGTTGTTCTGTGACAATTTATTAGTTTTTTTACTTATATAAATCTCTAAAAATCTGAGATTCAAAAGATAAAAAGGTAGCATTTAATAAGTACAATTTTATGTGCACTCACTCTATACCCAGAATTGTAATAATGCTTTCCATACTTGACCTTATTTAACTATCTCAACAACTCCTTTTGTATGACACTTGAGTATTGACATTTTATGGATGAGAAAACTGAGTTTCGGAGCATATAAATGACTTCGAATATGACACATTTGTAATATTGATGTTTATTACTACTCTGCTCAATTTTTTACCCCTATGTGGCAGAAATGTTGGTTCATGAAGTCATTTTTGTCACTATGGACTTGCCTGATTCCAAAAGAAGCAGCAGTCTTGCATTTTCTCTCAGTAGAGAATTCAAAGGGCAAAAGAGAGGAAAGTAGGAAGAGGTGGAGGAGGTGAAGGAGGAAAAAAAAGGGGAAGGGTGGAAGGAAATGAGGAGAAAAGGAACAAAAGGAAGAAGAAAGAGTGGAAGAGAAGGGAGAAAAATGGTTTTTGTCAACTGAAACAAGTTCTGTTTTGAAGAAACAACTACTTGGTTAAGCAAATGTGGTAACCCTATATGCGACAGCAGAAAAGCAAGCAGGCCATCCAAAACACTCCCTACAGCTCATATTGTCCCTTTTCCTCCTATCCTTTTTATTCCTCACAGCAGCTAGGCCTAAAAAAGGGTGCCATCATTCCTTTCAAAGTGCATCTCTGCTCCCTCCCCTTCACAGAATGTAACCATCAGGCTCATCTGAAATGCCTTTCCAAGAGCTTATCCAGATTTCTCAGAGATACTTCAACACATCCAGATGGGAACATGCTACCTTTCACCACAAATTCACCTCCTCCCTACTGATTTCTGTTGCCAAGTTTGCTCATGTTCACCACATCTCTACCTCCAGCCAAGGACTGTCTACTGAAACAAATATCTACTCGTTTTCACCATGTCATTTACCCAAAACTCAGTAAGTTCAAGTCTAAATTACATATTTTATCCAATGCCCTCCTTTGACTTCAAAAAAAAAAAAAGAGAGAAAAAGAAAAAAAGTGAAAACACAAATTTCCTAATGGCATGAAATTACACCAATCTCTATTACTCAACCTAAACAATTGGAATTCACCCTTAATGCTATTTTCTCTTTCAATCCCTATATTCAACCAGTCATAAATTTTTACTGACTTTACCTAAGACATATCTCTAATCTCTTTGAATCCATCCTTATTTTTCTATCTCTATTGTAAACCCCTTAGCACAGGATACCATTGTTTCTTGCCTATAAACCTTCAACAGAATCAAAACACTCTCCATCTCCCTCTCTAACCCACTGTGATCAAATTGGTTTTCCAAAATAAAAATCAGTCTTGGCCCAAACCAGACTTGCTTAACTAAAATACTTCAGTGGTTTCCATGTGTCCAGTGAATAAATTGTAAATTCTGGAACACAGCTTGTCTGTTGTTAGTCCTATAGTACCTACATTTTCTCTCCTTTCTCTCTTGTTTCCCTTGCCTCTAATTTAAACATAACCTTCTGTCAGCTCCTGTATTGGGTTATGCCCTCTGGCTTCTGTTTCATTACAGTTGGTCCCTCAGCCTGCAATGCAAGGAGCAATGATTCCTATCCATCATTTACATTCCAACTAATTTAAAATGTCCATAGAGAAAATTTAGTGGCCCCACTAAATCACATTGCCTCATGTAAGTTTCCATTGACACTATAATTTGCTTCAAGATATTTTTCCAGTTATAGATTTTATTTGTATAACTTTATAATCATATGATTATACTCATATCCCTCATTATACCATAAGCTTGAGGAGGATAGGAAGTTGTCTGTTTTACCCATTACATTATTCCTAACCCTTAGCATCTGGCCTGGCTCAATATAGGTAATCATTAAAGTTGTTTGACTAGAGGGGTGAAAGATATCATCATTTTTTATTATTAATTCAAACTTTACTACACTGGACTGAAATTATGTAAGAACAGAGATCTGATTTGAAAAGAAATTTATCTCCAATTCTTAACACTGTTCCTGGCCTATGGAAATTCTCAAAAGCTTTTATTCAATGATCAAATTGGATCGTCTCCATTTATGTCCATGTATATAGGTTTACAATATTACAATAACCTGATAATTTTTTTAAAGAGCCACCATGCTTGAACCTTGATGTCAGTGTAAATTGGTTCCTTTTCTTCAATTTCATATACTCCATTAATCACAAAAGCATATCACACATCTATTTTAAAGTCTTGAAGCTTCTAGAATCTATCTCACCCTCCTTGTTCATATAACTGATTTGGTCCAGACTTCCACTGACTTTCATATGATGTAACAGTAGCCACCTCTGAAAACTCTTATCTCTGGTTTAGTTCCCTTTAATCTCCCCATTACTTCTCTATCTAAGAAATCAATTTTACCTGAGCATTTGATATTGATAGCTCCTATACTAATGTATCAATATACTTTTTCTAATATTAATATCATATTATAATGTCTAAGTGATTTTAGTGACAAAAGGAAATGAGTACACTGTGGAAATAAGTATAAAAATCTCTGCACAGAACAAATTTTCAATCAGGTACTAAGTTTGTTAAATTAAAAATATTGTGTGTGTGCCCAGCATCATGTAGAAGGAGAAGGAGGAGTAGCATAAATATGAAAAGAAGAGGCAAAAAAAAAAAATGAAGAGGATGAGGAAGAATGAGTATAAACCATTCTTGGATGCTATGATTATAGATGATTCTCATTTGCCACTGAATAATTATACAACTTATAATTTATATAATGAGAAAATATTCCTCTTTCAGTTTTTGAAAAGGAAATAAAAAGGTTACTTAAAATTTTTGACTCCTCTAGAATATAGTAGATAGTTCAAATACCAAATAACTTTTAAGAAAAATAATAAAACTATTAGCCAGTATTAGGTAAATCAATTATATTAAGGGCATGTTTCATATTTTATATTCCATCATGAAAAATGTACAGATTCAAGTATGAATAAAATGCATCACTAATTCATGGTGCACCATATGTCTGCAAAGTAAATTGGGACATACTTTCTGTGCCTCCTTCTCAAAATATGAATTAACTGATTTGTATGCAATTCATGAGTTTAGGAGCTTTTCTACCTCTATGCCTTTGAATGTAACTTCTCTGTGTTTTCTGACAACATTGCCTAATTTTCAAATGCCTCTGTGCCTCTCCTTTATGCTCTGACAGTACATTCAGTGATAGTCTATCATAAAATTTATAATCAGAGATATAATTACCAGTATTGTGTGACCTTCTTGACAACAGTAACACTGTTTATTTCTATTAAGCCAGTATTTTGGAAAACAACGAATAAGTGTAGTTATAAGTAACATGCAGGATAAGTGAATTATTTCAAAGCTAACAAATCGTAATTTTGCTAGGAATAAAATAATCAATTTTATATGTATATATATGCATACATGATGTACAATTATGCACACATTTAAGGAATTTAAGATGATGAATTGCAATGAATAATATTTGCTATTGTAACACCTTAAATTGGTGTCCAAAATTAAATGAAAAGGGCTTAAAATTTCTATTAATGAAAGATGGGTCTTGATGAAAGTGAAGAATGTGGATTGGAATTCTGATTTGATTTCTTTCATCTTCTTTGGGTAACTGCAAGAATATTAAGGAAAAGAATAGAACAAGAACTGTACTCACATAATATCACATATTATTACTTTCATTCCACCACTAAATTATCTGCAATGCCTTTACTAACTTTGTTTATACTTAAGGAGTATATATTTATTTAAAAAATTTTAAACTGGTTGATTTTTAACCCAGGATATTATTTCTAAGGATGACCATAGTACCCATGATGGAAGGTATTTTGCTTCAGTAAAGGAGGTTCTCAGTATTTTCCCAACATGAACTTTTCATTCTATTTTTTCTGTGGATTCCAAGGTTCACAATATTTTATCTATTTAAACAAATCACATCTGCTATGAGCTATAGCTAGTTTTTATATTTTGATGTTGTTTTGGGGTTTTAACTAAGTGTTAATAATGTTCTAAAATTAAAGACGTTGCTGCCATTGTGCAAATAAATAAGCAGCAGGGACTTTTTCCTTGTGCACAGTTAATATTTTAATAAATCTCTATTCATTGTGAGCTCAGTTCCTCGATTTGCTAATTCAAGTACTTAAACTTCAACAGGAGTAAATGTAAGAGATATCAACTCCATCTCCTGAAACTCTGATGTCATCAGAAACAGAAAAATTTAAACCAAATTCTTGCAAATCCAATCATGCCAAAGCAAACCCTTTGGAAAGTAGTTATATTTCTTAGTGACTTCCTAAAGTCTAACACAGTATATCGACAAGTATAATTTTAATGGTAGCATGAACATTTTTATCATTTGTTTAAGAGAAATGTGATTGCCTACTTGAACATGCAAACAGATAATTCAAAACCTTAAGCTAATAACAGGCTTTGAGATGATTAGATCACCTTAAAATATTTATATACAACTACACATATACAAAAAATTCTTTCTTGATAGAATTTGGGAGCTTTGTGACTGGGAGTTGTTCTCTGAAATACTAAAATTGTGTCACTCTCTTATGACCAATATGGCCAGACCTTTATTTACATCACTGTGAAAATGATGTTGCCTTAAAAAATAGTTAAGGATAACACTGAGATTAATGGAATTGAGAGCAAAACGCACAGAGAAAAAATTTCCTTTATTCTACTAACTTTTTTAGGCACCAGATGTATAACATGAAAAACTATTTGGTGAATTTCATATTGAGTATCTTCCTCTGTAGAATGAATTAGTATATGATACATGAGATGATTTATTTAATGTTTTAATACTTTCTGGATTATCAAGTGAACTGGATGCTCAAGAAAGCAAAACTTTAATTTATGAAAGAAGAAAATGCTAAATGGTACTTACTTATAGATCTTTGGCTTTTCAAACACTCCAAGCTGGTTTAGTAACTTAAATGAAATAGAGCCACCATTCATAGTTTCATCCAAAGCAATTATACTGATAACAAAATAATAGGCTACAAAACAAAAGTGCAGAATGCCACTCACATTATTTTTTAATCCTTGTTTTGGTACATATGCAAATATACACACATATGTAATCTAGTCCTGTATTATATATGCAAGTAATGTTATTCAGAGGTACTCTTTTGGTCAATTGGCAATGTGTTTTGCTTTTCATTTATCAATCATTGATTGGTCTTAAAAATGAGGAATAAGAGCTGGTGGAAAGTCTCAAGCAGTAAAGAACTTGCCTAGCAAGCATGAGGCCAAGTTCAAACCCCAGTACCACCAAAAAATAAATAAATAAACAACTAGAACAAAGTAGACTGGAGTTGTGACTCAAGCAGCAGTGTGCCTGCTTTGCAAGTGTGAAGCTCTGAGTTCAAATGCCAGTGCCCCCACCCCCAAAAAGAATAAGGAATAAAAACCATGATTGTTAGTCAGGGTATGTTGACAAATTGGTCACATAGCTACTGACCTCTAAACTAGTTTGCAAATCAAAATCATTTCAGAATTTAGGCCAGTTAAATAACTTTTTCAATAACATATACAAGGGAAATATAAGGTTCCTCAATTATCTGATTAATAGACCTGGCTAAATTTGCTTGATGAACTTAATTCCCAATTTCATTAGTTACTGAGGAATGACTATGAAATTAAATAGCCTAATACATGGTTAAGTTCAAAGTAATTCTTATTTTCCATGTGTAGCATACTTTTCAGAAGCAAAGTTACTAAACCCACCCAGATACTCAGTTTTGTCAAGGCTATACATAAAGCTCTCACCCTGTACCACTTATCCCAAGTCTTGAGCTTATGTACCTGCCACTAGAAGGCAACATATGCACATTTGTATGGGTGTATGCTGTGTGTGTGTAATACCAAACAACATGGAATGCACAAAGTTTTCCTGTGGGAACAAAAATTGTGCATGCTAGTTGTAAATGAGAATTTAAAAGGCCTACCAATTGCACCCTTGGGTCTTTACAGCAGAGAAAAGAAAACATATTCACATAAAGCTTTTTACAAAATATTTATAAAAGTGTTATTTTTAATAACCAAAACTAAAATCATCCAAGATGCTCTTCAGTGAGTGAATTGTCAGGCTGTAGTGCCTACATACTATGGAATGCTACTAAGTAATAGAAAGGAATTAGTCTTTAATACATGCTACAACATGAATGAACCTCAAGGAATTATGCTGAGTGAAAAAAAGCTAATTAAAAGGTCACTAAATGATTTCCTTAATATAAAGTTTTGAAAGGACAAAGTGTTAGAAATGTAATAACTCTTGTCAGAGGTTAGAAACAGCCATCTAGATATGACATCTAGATGTCATATGGTTATAAAAGCATTTATATGGTTATAAAAGCACAACATAAGAAATTCTCATGGTGATATACTGTTGTCTCTTCATTGTGGTGATAGAGACCTAACCCTAATTTGTATAGCTCTAAATACACAAGTGTGTGGGAAAATATACATAAATAGATGGATTGTTTCAGTGTCAGTATCTTGCTAGTGACATTATATTATTGTATAACTTTGCAAAATGTTATGCCATTGAAGGAAACTGGATAAAGAGTATATAATATCTCACATGATTTGGGAGACAAGGTAGTGAATTAGAAGCATCTTCTGTTCAACTCTGTGAATGAGAAGGGTTAGGATAACAAACCCTTTTGTTCAAAGACAAACTACATTTTGAACCACAAAGAAAGGGAGATGATAAGGAATCAAGAAAGGTGAGAGGCAGCTGAAAGTAACAGAGAAACAGAAAGTCACGAGAGAAAAGTAGAAAGTCTGCAACTCAGGCTCCCCAATGGGGAGGGAAAGCCAAAGACACAAAGTAGAAAGTCTGCAACTCAGGCTTCCCAATGGGGAGGGAAAGCCAAAGACACAAAGAAAAGTTAATACAAATGGCCCTGGTGACAGACTGGTAATTCTAGCTGCAAGATATTCTCATATTTCCTACAAGCCTTAAACCCAGTATTGTGATTTGATGTGACAGTTAATGCTTCTGCATGGCAGACTAGCTTTGGAGAAGAAACACATCTTATAGCTCCCCTTGTCTTAGAGAGCGATCATGATGTACCATATTGTTTGAGACTGGGGAAAAACAAAAGACAATGATGGTTTGAAGAGACCTGGGAAACTCTACCACAGTGATTAGAGAGGGGAATACATGAGAAGAAGCCCTGTAAAAGGAGAATGTCTGACATGGCCCCATTGTGAAGTTTAAGCAATAGGGGGCAAGAGCAAACTAAAAGGTACAGTGGCAGGCTGCCCCACCCTCCCTGGTGATGAGTGTTTCCTGAAGCCAGGAACACTGTGGAAACAGAGCACCTAGTCCATGGTTGGTAGAGGGCTCAGCCTCTCAGAGCTCCTGACTCCACTGAATGTGCTTGTTGCCAGTTGGGTCTAAGAATCATGTGTTTCCCCAATCTCCTCCAAATCCTAGGAAAATCCTGGGCAGGATCTGAAAGCACAGAGACCAGCCTCCTCCAGGAATTACATCCAACTGTGTGTGTTTGCTGCCAGGTGGGACTGAAGGCTCTCAGCCTCCTCCTACCCTGAGGATATAGATCTACTGGCCAATGTCTGAAAGCATTGTGTCTGACAGCTAGTGTGTCTCAATTCCTTAGTACCCCACATCAGGAAGAACTCAGTGATCTGTTTGCATCCACTACTCACTAGTGCATTTAGGGGACACTCCTAGACTTTGATGCTGGCTATTCCTGGAGACACAAACTGGGTATTGTGGAGCAGGTTGGAACCTCCTCAGACCACAGGCTGCACAGCTCCTTGTAGCCAGCAGTAGCTTCTAGCACACAAAGAAAGGAAGCTTCTAAAGCAAAAGCACACAGAGGTAGTCAATGGGCCTATGACAGGCCCTGCCCTCAGCCCACACTAGCCCCAGCGTATACAAGAGGAGCCCCAATAAACTCCAACCAGTTTCCTCTATCTGACTGGTGCTGAGAATCAGAAAGAAAAAAACAAAAAAGAAAGAAGGAAGAGAAGGGGAAAAGAAGGGAAAGGCAGGGGAAAGGAAGAAAGGGAGGAAAAGGAAAAAAGGAGGGGAAAGAAAGAAGGGAGGGGAAGGGAAAGGAATGACCATAATATGAAGAGACAACCCACAGAATGGGAAAAATCTTTGCCAGCTATTCATCAAAGTATCAATATCCATTATATATAAAGAGCTTAAAATTAAACAATAAAAGAATAACTCAATTAATAAACAGGAAAATTAATGAGATGGTTCTCAAAAGAACTATAAATGGCAAATAAATGGAAAAAAATGTTTAACTTCCTTAGCCATAAAGGAAGTGCAAATCAAAACAACACTGAGGTTCTATCTCAACAGTCAGAATAACCATCATGCCCCCCTGAAAAAGGAAACCTTATACACTATTGGTACAAAAGAAAATTAGAACAGCCACTATGGAATTCAGTATAAAGTTTCCTCAAAAACTAAAAGCAGAGCTACCATATGATCCTGCTATACAACTCTTGGGCATATATCTGAAGGAATGCAAGTCAGCATACAATAGATATACCTGAACACTTACGTTTATTGCCAGCACTATTCACAATAACCAAGCTATGGAATCAGCCTAGGTGCCCATCAACCAATGAATAAACAAAGAAAATGTGGCACATACACAATGGAGTATGATACAACCAATAAGAGGAGCAGAATTAAGTCATTTTCAAGAAACTGGATAGAATGAGAGATCAAATATTGAACAAGATAAGCCAAACTGAGAAAGAAAATATCACGTTTTTGTTCATACATGTAATCTAGACTAAAAAAATGATGATCATAATAAAATAGCATAAATGTAAAAGGGGGACTATTTGGGGTGGACAACCAGTGAAGAGGGGAGGGGAAAAGTAGAGGGTGATGAGGGGTGAATATGATCAAAGTACCTTATATAAATTTCTGAAAATGGCATAATGAAACCCACTAAAGTTATAAAAGAAAAAAGCAGCAGGGAATAAGAAGGGTGGATGGATAACAGAACAGGTGGGTAATAGAACAAGTGGACTTCATCAAAGTATATTATACACAGGTTTAGACATATCACAATGAAACCCTTTGTATAATTAGGTATGACCATAAAAATATTTGAAGAGTATAAGACATCTCTGTATTATTTCTTAGACCTGCAGGTAAATCTAAAATTAACTCAATAAAAATTTTAATTTAATAATTAGACTCAATCTTATATGATAGTACATATAATTAATTCTTAAAATTTTTAATATTTTGAACCTAATTTTCCAACATTAATGATGAACGAAATAAAGTATTTTAATTTGGGAATGTATTTTAAGCATTTATTTACATTATCAAGGCCAGTTCCAGGAACTAAAAACTTCTAAGATTCTTCACATAAGCATGGTATTGTGATTCCTGTCTATAATCCCAGCTACTTGACAGGTGGAGGAAGGATTATGAGTTCGAGGCCAGTCTGGGCAAAAATTGGGGAGAGTCTATCAAAAACAATTTTTTTTAATGAAGGAGTTAAGGCACAGCTCAAGTGACAGAGCACTTAAGCACCAGGCCTTGGGTTCAATCTCTAGTACCATAAGAAAAAAGATTCATCATGTAATAGGAGTCACTTCTCTTTTAAAACACTTCTATCTTTTCATCTAACAGGATAACCTTGTTTTCTTTACTATCTCCTCTTAAAATTAATTATCTAATACAATTATATGAGATTCCTGTTCTACTTTCTCCTCTTGCTAATTCTAAATGTGTTAAGAGGATTATTACTTGCTTGTTTTATTTTGTTTATAAACTGTTTTAAGTTCTCAAATGGGTGTTTAGAGTGTAGATAGATGAGCTGGCATGGTGGCTCATTCCTGTCATCTCAGCTATGAGGGAGGAAAAGATTGGGGGGACCACAGTTCTAGGCCAGTCTAGGGCAAAAAGCAAGACCCTATCTCAAAAATAATAGTCATAGTTGGGGAGGGAAGATCCATAGGCATAACTCAAGCAGTAGAACACCTTCCTAGAGAGCATGAAGCCCTGAGTTCAAACCCAAGTACTTCCAAAAGAATAAGTGTATATATAGACATCTTAGGCTTCCTAACACAGTAAACAACAAAATAGCACTAGCAATAGGAAGGATAATTATGTTTATTTGGAGGAGGCCTTTATCTTTCCATGGGAAAATGTTGCAGAAGCATCTGTTCATTTCATCTCATACTCAAGGTTTTGATAAATTTTTGAGCTTTTGTCTAAAGCTTCAAGTTCTTTTGAATTATCCAAGTAGGCCAAATGAATTTTAAAAAGCATGATGGAATTAGAAAGGATACAAGGAATATTTTGTATAAAATGGAAATGAGTATGAAAAAATTAGTAATGTGTTCATTTGATAAAATTGTTAACTTACTACAGTATGGATTTTTGCCACTGGTATCCAAAAAAGCAAGGGTTCTAAGAGGCCATCCTTTTCTTCTTTCTTTTAAAGCACCCTTCCATGACTTTGCTTGATAACCTGAGAGTTGAGAAAGAGAACACTGGAAGTGGAACTTCTATCAAATAGCTTACAAATTTCAAATTATGAAGTAATTAAAAGATCAGTGCACATCAGCATTATTATTGATTTTTATAATACATAAAGCATTTTACAAAAAAATGTAGCATTCTATTTATTTTAATTACAAGAATAATTCTTAAATTTAGGGTTCATGAGTAAACCCACAACCTCAAAGTCTTATCAGGGTTAGCATATTCCATGACTATACTCTACTCATATCTGCTCTTACTACTTATTAGGAATTCAGAATTTTACTTGTAACTCTTTTTGGCAATTTTGGCAGAATAAATTGACTTCACAAATTGAAACATATAATTTAGCTCCACAAGTACAGACCTCAATTTCCCCATACATATGTACATATATACTAATATAGATATGCTATGTATATGCATATATCATTTATAAAATATACATAAAAGTAGTAAAAAAGAGCATTTACATACACTATGTATTATATATAAAATATATTACATATATGTACATATGTGAATATGGGAAATGTATTACATATATTTATATATTTATAGAATTGAGTTATTAAATATATATGTATATTTCAAATGCTTCCTTGTTGCAACATTACTACCACTAAAGTTTAGGATTTAAATATACCAGAAAATATACTCAAGGTAAACTCAGAGGTTTAACTGTGCTTTTCACTTAATGCTCTTAAGCAATCCATATATCCAGTCCGGGTCATATATGAAAAAGAGATAGGACCAGAAAAACAATCCCCAAATGTAGTCTGAAGACAATGAGTCCTAAATGATGTCTTGTGGAGAGAAGAGCTCAATGAAAATATAAATTTGGCAAAGCCTCCGTAGTGCATTCCTCATCTAGAGATTCTCCATGTATAATTAGTCCTCCTGAAGTAAACTGGTTGCACATGGTTCAATTCAGCCTTTTTAATCATTACCCATTCCTAGAGTTCCTTTGGCTTTCGAAACATTTCTGGAAGATCCTTCCTTGATACAGACCAAATGTTGACATACTCATAACATGCTAGGGCCTTGTATTCTCTTTGGGAAACACTGAACAATTTTTGAGATTCTTTCTAGTTCTAACATTCTGTTTTTATGTGGATTCCTTTTTCTTTGTAACCTCCTACTGGCAAGTTTTAATTTTTAGAAGTTGCAATGCTTAACTGCTCTTACCAAGCTTTATGCATTTAGAAGGTGAGAATCATGTATGACTCATGACTATTTGCTGATAGCAAATGAAAAGTTAGCTATGGTTCACCCCATTCAACTTGCTCTTAAGATTTCCCATTAAAAAATTAAACTAAGTGCTTCAAAGAATATGCAAGTTTTTTTTAATTGGGAATATAGTGGGATGATAAATTCTTTTGTTTATCAATAATAAGGATCTGGGTGAAAGATGGAGGGTTGAATCTAATTAAGATACATTGTAAACACATATGTAAATGTCACAGTGTATCCTGTATAACTCTAGTATGCTAACAAAAATTTTAGAAAGAGCAAGGATCATCATGAGGTCATTGGAATTTGCCTATTATACTGAGGACAGGAAAAAGTAATTGATCAAATTTTTCTCATCCAATAGGTTAAAAACATTTAGTAGGCAATGAAATATGTATTTTGAGTGTGCCAGATCTCAACAATTACCCATAAAATGTTAACATATTAATAAATTAGCAATACATATTAACATTTGAAGCATAGTTTATCTCCCATCATAAAATACTAACATAAATGATATTCATTTTCAAAAAAGTTGTAATTGTAACAATCTCTCTTACCTAGCCTAGGACATGAATCTTTCATAAAGCTGCCACAGTCCACACATAAACTACTCTTGTAATCTTTGTATGAATCACAAGGAAATGAAACAAAATTGCAGTTTGTTTCCAAAGATGCTATGAACAAGTGAACTGCTCTCTGATGGTTGCACTTAATATATTCGATTCCTTCGGGGTGAGAAAACAAGCAAAATAACTATAGCTGCATTAAACCAAATTCAACAGAATTAGATAAAAATTGGAGATTAAATTTTACTAAATTCTTTGAAATTTATAAATATTAAAGTGCTGACTACAATACAAAATTATATGTTAAGCCACCAAATAGTACTATGAAAAACTTAAACTTATCATGTCTTTTATATGAGATTAGCAACACATTTTATAAAGTAATAAGCAACACAGCAAAGTTTAATTCCAATAACATAACAGGCTATATAAACATAGTGCTGATATATTTAATAACCAGTGTACATATCCCACTCTTCTAATCCCTTTAAATTTTGACCCATTATCAGAAATGACTATGGGAGTGGGTAGCATAAAAGGGTTATTACCTCTTTCCCCTTTCCCCAGCCTCTAACAGCCTCATCTCTTTCACCAAACTTCTCTAGCTGCCGTGCCCTCTGACTACGTGTTGTAAAGTGGGCTAAATTCCACACTGGAAGCAATTTTCAGCTCTCTATGTATAGGACAACCAAGTATCAGTGGTTTGTAAATTTGTGTCTGTATGGTAATATGGTAACGGTGAACGTTACACCTTAAATCTTGAGATTGAACTTGTGTTATAGGTTACCTATCAAACTTGTGCTTCCTTAATGACTTAAAACATCTCCTAATATTTAAAATGATAAACAAAATTGTTGAAACCATAATAGTTCTCATCCATGGCCAAATGGTATGTCTACTTTATTAATTAAGCAAGGTCAAATCAAACTATTTTTGATCAATAACTTTCTGGATTGTGGGCAATGATCATTAATCAAAATTTGCCCACAGATTAAGAAAGAAAAAAGTAAATTATTTTCTTTCATTATTCTTAATCATGTATAATTCATTTGAAAATGCTATCAGTATACCTGAAAAAATTGATTTAGGACAGCCAGGTTGTTGTTTTCCTCCATTTGGATAAAAATCTATATGTCCCAATGGCTCTTGAATGCCTAAACCTTAGAAAAAAACCCCACAAGAATCACAAAGAATATATAACCAGGTCAATAATACATAAGACAAAATCTCCTTTAAAATCCATTGAAAATTACAGTTTAAAATTTTGAATTAAGAATAAAATAAAAGTTGATGTTTTTAAATGAGCTTTCTTATATTAGTTTTTAAATTAATTCTTCATGGAAATTATATTCCATTAATGTAATATGAACCAGGCACCAGTTTATGGTGGTTCATTCACAATTCTCTTTGGGATGAGTGAGTCAGTTCAAAAAAATCCTTGTACTAAAAAAACACCTTCCAGTGAAAGAAGAACATAATACACAATTATAACTACAATGCCAGATAATATTAAGTGCTCACATCTGCAAGGCATCCCAATTCTCAGGTCATCAGAATAACATATTGGAGAAGACTCTGGAATGGAAGATATTTCAAATGCTGACTCTACTGATTATTGGTCTTGTGACCTTGACCCTAGTTCCCCAATCTGTAAAAGGGGAATGATAACAATTATCTCATGAGGAGTTGGGAGAATTCAAGAATTAATTCATATAAAGCACTGGGATCACTGCCTGATGTATGCAAAGTACTCAACAAATGTTAGCATTGCCAGTCTGCATCGATGCAGACTAAAATTTTCTTTGATAGTATCTGTCCAATGTAGTTTGACCAATACTACCAATACTCTGGTAGATATTTCATAAAGATAATTAAAAACTGTAGAAAAAGTATTTCCCTACCTTGAAAGAAAAACATTCTTTATGTATGGCTGAAATGCTATGCTCAGTTCTAGTTGGTACACATCACTTTATCAATGAGAAAATGAGTATAAAACAGTAAATACATCAGGAATATCAAGCATAGGAGGAAAATGTGACAGCCAATGACTGTTAATGCCATGAACAGGGTTAACTATATTTTATGAATTTAGTTTTTAAGATTATATGACACCTATTGAAACTTGAAGAAAAAAACTGAAGGCAAACTGTGCTGTTTCACAATGCAAGAAGACATCATTAACCCCCAGAAATTTATCCACAACTTCCACTTCTTTTAATTCCCATATCCCCAAATTCTACTTTTCATTTTTTTCACTTTTAAATAATTAAGCCACACATCCTGCTTTGTTACCATTGATATCAGAATGAATGACATCCACAAACTGTGCATCACTATAATCTAATCTTCTGTTTGGTGGTTTTCCAGAAAATTTTGGTCCAGCAGGATCAAGACCTGAAATGGAAAAAAAGAAATTACCAATCTAATTAAGTCTTACTACAATGCTCATTATAATGAATCCTTTCATTAATATTGTCTTGTAAACAAAAATTTTGCAAAGCATATCTAAAGATAAATTAAATTTAATATCTAGGGAGTATTTTCATTATTTAATACTTATTGCCAACTTTCAAGGTTGCCAAATTACATCATACTAAAGAAATCTCAACAAAATGCTGTAAGATATTTTTAGAATTTTTAATTTGTAATTGGGAGTAAGCCATTGTAACCTTATATTTAATAATAGCTCTGACTTCTCCTGAAGAATAAAAGGATAATGAATATCATCTGTTCCTCTTGAACTCTATGCTTTGCTAGCTCATTCTTTTAAGATCTATAGGTCTAAAACAGATCTATAGGTCTAAAATAGTGCCAAACACTATCTGAGTTGTGGGATAGAATATCATTACTACTATTTTATTATCACTCATTTCTCACAAGACTTCCCCATATATTTCTTTTTTTTTTTTTTTTTGGCAGTACTGGGGTTTGAACTCAGGGCTTCATGCTTCCTTAGACAGGCACTCTACCACTTGAGCCACACTGCCAGCCCCCCCCCCCACATATATTTCTAAGAAAATAAAAATATACTAAAAATTCTGTGGAGGATGAACTAATTCTGGAGTAGTCTAAATTCATAACTTTCTCAAGAGGATCAAAAAAAGAACATGTATACAGTGGAAGAATTGGTCATATTAAAAACATGAGGGAGCGTGATGGAGAGGGTGAATCATATTAAGATAAGTTTTAAATACATATGTAAGTGTCACACTGAAACCCCCCTACAACTAAATATGCTAATAAAAATGTAAAAACAAACTATAAAATAAAATAAAACATTGAACACTGTTCATCTCATGCCCTTTTTATCCCTCTTTTATTTAGCCCATTTGATTGAATAGTCCACTTCTCTCTTCCTGTAAATTATTCTGATATAGTTCCTCCACATTTGTTAGCCTTTTAAATCCTATGGTTGCCTGGCACATCGAGCCATTTATTTGGACAAACAGATCAGTAAACACATCTCTATATACAAGTTATTTTACCTTTCCTTTCTCTCTTTATTTTTCTTGGGTGAGGGGAAGTACTGGGGTTTGAACTCATGTTTGCTAGGCAGGTGTTCTATCACTTGACCTACTCTGTTAGCTCCGTCCTTTCCCTTTTTATTGAAATTTAACTAAGACTTTTTATCTTTCATTAATATTTGAAATTATTATAAATCTTCCATGGACAAAGATATCAAGAATTGCTAAACAAAAAAAAAAACCAAAATGTTTGAAGTAAGATATTACTATTCAACTTCTAAAACCTACCAATTCTAGAGGGTACAATGAAAATCCATGTCATCATTATTTGGTTACTGAGTTTTCTGGATGTGGTAACTTTGTTGTGGAATATGAAGGAAGTTGAGAGATAAGCCCTTCAACTTGGATACAAACTCCTGTTTCTATCACTCAAGCAAAATGTTTAAAAGAATTGAAATACATCAAAATTGTGAACATTAATTTCATAGGTATGGTCCTAGTTGTTATTTTTAAATGTATTTTTAAAATTTAATGAGCTAGATTTTCCTATCTATTCTTATAATAATGTGTTCTTAAACTTTAGATAGTGCTGCAGAAATACATTTTTTCCTCTGAGTAACCTGTGCTTTGTTCAGAACTAAACTAGACTTTAGACTTTAGCTAAAACAAAGACTTAAAGTTGGACATAATTTAGAGTCTACCAAAAATAAAAGTGTGATTCAAGAAGCAGAGCATGTGTTTAGCAAGCTCTAGGCCCTGAGATCAAACCTCACTAGAACCCAAAAAACTAAACAGCAAAAATAGAGACAAATGTTTGGATATAATATAGAAAAATTAAATTTTTATACAAAATTTCTGTAGCTTATTTGTTGTACCTGTTAAATTTTAAATAAAATAACCTAATAAAAAGTGTACTAAAACAGAAATTTTATTAAAAAAAAAGTTTTACCTGTTATTCTTCCAAGTTGACCATGAAATATCTTCCCAACAAAGCCACTAATATGAGCCCCTAAGCTCATACCTATGAAATGAAAATTGTCAAGAGATGCTCCATGCTTCTGTAATTGAAAATGTAGTGTAATAATTTTCATTTTGGCTAATCACAAATTATGCCTCATACATCAATATTCTAAAATTCATTATTTTCTGGTTTCATCCATTCTGGGAGATGGAGATGATTTTATAGTTATGAACCAAGTACATCTTTGTTCAACTTGTGACATAAAATAATCTGATTTTTCTCTACTCATTTTTATTAATATAATAAACTTTTATTAAAAGTTTTAAAATTTTTGTCAACTATTTATGTAGAGTAGTATATGTTAAATATCATTTAATTATCAAAGTCCTTTATGATACTAATAATTAGGTGTTCATATTTTGCTAGCTACTTTGAATCATGCATTATAAGTCTCAGATTTAATAATAATCATATGCCCACATGACTTATTTATTTTTATCCTATTGCCTAAAATTGTGCCTGACATCTATTAAATACCAACTAAATAACATTAAGCAAATTTTCATTGTACAAAGGAAACCAGATCAGAGTTTAAAGACTTGCCCAGAGATATATATTTTTTAAGGAAGGAGATGGATTTCAAATCGCTATGGTCTGAATGAATGTTTGTGTTCCCCAAAATTAATATGTTGAAATACTAATGCCTAAAGTGATGGTATTCAGAGGTGGGGGCCCGAGGGAGGGAGATTATATTATGAGGTTGGACATTCATGAATGGGATCAGAGCCCTGGTAAAAAAGACCTGAGAAACTCTTTTGACACTTCCACCACATGAGAACTTTGTGAAAGACACCAGCTATGAATCAGGAAGAGGACTGTCACCAGACCCAGAATCCTTCAGGACCTTGACTTTGGAATTCCCAGCCTACAAAACTGTGTGAAAAATAATTTGCTATTTCTGAGGCCAGTCTGTAGTATTTTGTTATACCAGCTCCAGTAAAATAAGACACAAGTCCAGATCAGTTAGATTCCAAAATTTGTGCTAATCTGCCTCTGTTCTTTATGATCAGGTTGTATCAAAACCCTAGGAGAACTGGTAAAAGTGTAATAAACTGTTCTCACTTCAGAGTTGATGAAATGAGATTGATGGATTTTACAGGATTTCCCCCATCACAAGCTGGAAAGTGATTGTATTCAATCTTCTAAGGTTACATTTTAAACACCTGTGAGCCTGAAGAGCCTTAAACTAGCAATTCACATGAGGGCATAGTTTTTCTACCACATTCTCAGGTTGCTAAGGGGAGCTCAATGAGGAATCTTGGTCCAGTCTACATAGTGACATATCTGAGGCCTACGGAATGATGTAGGACATTTGCTATTGTTGGAAATCTAGACACAGGTTTTTCTACCACAAAGTACTAAGGTTTCTCTAATGTCTCAGAGAAATGCTCCACAACTGGAAGGAGTATTTTTTTAAACTTCAGAGCTAATGATCTTTTAACCCTTCTCCTTAGTAAAAATCCTTTCCAAGCAAGGGCAGTGTTAGAAATTTATCTACTGCTACAATTTTTTCTTAAGTTTCTCTACTTAACTCTCACTTTCCACACTTGAAATGCATATTTACTGCAGACAACTATACTCAGAGAAATAAATTGTGTAATTTTATAAACTATTAATAAGAATGGGTGAGTTGATTATCTTCTCTGTCTCTATAGGAATGGTAAATGCTAAATGTCACCCAGTAGTTAAACATGCAAACACATGCACACAAATATTTATATATTTTATATTCATATAATGTTCAAATATTAGTATAAGATTTTGCTTTCACAAATATACAAATAATAAAATACGGCATAGAGAGGTTAAGAAATTTCTTAAAGTCACAAAGATGACAAGTGATGGACTTGAGCTCTAAACCTCTCCAGTCTGACTCTTAGCCACTTTTAAAAATAAGACAGCATAGAGTTATTATCCTTTGTAGCAGACAAAGAAAATATGGCTGAACAAATTAATATATCAAAGAAGTAAGTCTAAATGCTTATTGAAAAAAGTATTAATTTTACAACTATTTTGTGGTACTACATGATACACTGTATATTGTATAGCATGTATAATTAATAAAATTTCCACACTTACCAAAATATTTAGAATGGACCTGCTCAAACTCTCAGCAACCTTTTTGGTGTTTTTAACTGCCCTATTGTAAATAAAAGTTGTAGCGCCATAGTTCCAGTCTACAATAATTACGTTCATATCTTCTTCATTCAACAAAATCCTCAGAAACTTTGGAAGCCATGATGGGGTAGCACCCATTGGTCTATATCCATGAATAATCCAGACTGTTTTCTTTTGTGTGTTGAAATTAATATTAAGTGAGTTATTGTGCTCAAACAGTGGTTGAGCACAGTTTAGGTTATTCCTTGTGTACATCATCAGAATTGTCTTTACTTTGGGAACAAACAAATCTCTTAAGGAATCTTTTATATTTAGGTTGGAGAATTCAAGGCATGGTCTTTTATTCTCTGAAATTAAAAGAAAAAGTCAGTTAAGTGAGCACTTGGACAATATTAAATTCTTGTTGCTATTAAAAGAACAGAATTGAACTCAGCAGTTGACAGGATTTCATTTCAATACCAATTTCTCATAATTCACTGAACAACGTTTAAAGCAATATATTGATTAGGCAAAAGGATTTTCTGAATGAGAAGAATAAAAAATTTATTAAAAATGTAAATAAATGTGATTGGTTAAAAATTAAGAACTGTTGTGTCTATACAAAATAGAAATGGCAATGTGTATGACTGAAATCATTAATATTATTTAAACAAAGTAGTAAGCAGACCAACAGAAGGAAATAATTGGTAATGAATTTTTACAAAAGCATTCTTATTGGATAATAAACATTTATATATGGTAAGCATTAGAAATACATATTTAAGTCATCATTTCTCAAAGGCATACAAATCAAACAATAAGTTATCATTTTTCCCTATCAAATTAAAAAAGTAAAAAAATCCTTCTAGTGAAAACCTGTATTCTAGCACTCAGGAGGCTGAAGCAGAGGGACTGTGAGTTCAAGGTCAGCCTAGGCTATATAGCAAGCCTTTGTCTCAAATAAAATAGAAGAAAAATCCTTTTAATAAAACTAATAAGGATAAATATAATATTCACATACATGAATGCTGAGAGTATAAAATGAAACATTGTTTTCAATTGTTTATGTAGTGTGTGTATGACATACACATAATCTTAAAATTTCCTTGTCCTTTATTTCTTTGTAAGAGTCAGGTTATAAAATATTAATGTGTATAATGGCACAAAAAGTAAAATACCTTAAATCTTATCATTATAATATTTAGGTCCATGTTTGCATTCTATCCATCATCATCATCTACTATCTATCCTAAAATCCGTATCCATCTATCTATTTATCAATATATCCATCCATCCACCTATCTATCCTAGCAAATTCTAGGGCAGAAAATGCAATAACTAAGAAATATTAATAGCAATATTCATTGCTAGGCAGTGTAACATTAGGCAATTTGTTTTATTTTCATAGTTTGTCAGACCTGTACTTTTTCATAATAACCATATAATCTCAAATTATTTTTCCAAATGATTTTTATGAGAGCATATGCTTATACTGCTTTTGAAATTTTAATTTGGAATGAATATTTCTGATAAAAATTGTCAATTCATATTAAAACTCACAAAAGTGTTAGTATATTTCCTTTCAGTAATTCTACTTTTAAAAATTTGTCATAAGAAAAACACAAAAATGAGCTAAAATATTATTTTAATACTGGATACAATATACATCATTTTAATAGTTCTAATTTGAAAGCATATATTTGCAATATTGTTGTAATTACTTAGAAGAAGAAAAAAGAGGAAGGCAATGAAGTAGAACTGCATCCTATCCCTAGGTTAATAACTAAGATATACTTGGAAGACTTAAAACCTTGATACTGCTTCTAATCTAAGTACTAGAGAACAAAGTGAGGAAGAGGAATACTTTGAATCATGGAAGCTATGAATGCTTACTACACTGCAGATTTTGTGAGGAATCACATACATCCACCTTATCTTATCAACTGGACTGTGGACAAGGCCCAAATATAATTAATAAATCCAAATTGCTGGTCCATTCCAAGCCTAAGTAGATTTTACCTGACCCTAGAATGAGTAATAAGAAATTAACAGTAGGACCTCTGTGATAAAAATAAGGGAAAGAAATCATACTAAAAACACCAGCAGAGAAATCTATTATCTATTATAAGATATAGAAGAAGCAGCAGAACACTCTATAGCATCATCATTAGAATGAAAGAAAAATCTTATTTCAAAACCAGAAGCAGGAAGCAATTAAGAAAAAATTTAAGTAGGAAAATTGACCAGACCAGATGAAGAACAAAATGATGAAATGCTCCAATTCAGAAAAAGTAAAAATGCAATTGCAGAATAAACATACACACTGTAAGCACTGACAGACAAACATGGAGAACTCATCATAAGAAATGAAGAAAAAAGATTTTAAATTAGGAAGGGAAACATAGAGGCCAAACTGATTATTCAAATTAAGAATAATTGCTTTCCTTGGGGGCATTGTAACTTGTGGGGGAAAGGAGAAGGTAGCAACTTACAGTAATTAAGGAAATGATTTCATAGCAGAGTTTGCAAACTGAACTGGCTTGGCACAATGTACAGAAAATGAGTTGATCAGACTCACCAACAGACTTCTTAGAAACTGGTTTGGATTTCGATGAAAGATTAAAATATCCTAAAAATATCAAGGCAGAAAATCCAGGTTACATAGGAATGAAACAATGGTGACTTCATATTTTTCTGATAAGATAGCACATCAGGCAGATAAAAGTATAATGAGTAAAGGGAAAAGTTTGAAGCCTAATAACTTATACTTTTCCTGAAACACACTAGTCACAAATGATGTGGCACATTTCCTGACATTGTGATTCTTAAAATAAAATGTTAGATTTTTGAGATAAGATCCATATAAACTCACAGTATAAAAAGATTGAAAGTTATCTGGGTGCCAGTGGCTCACACCTGTAATTTTAACTACTAAGGAGGCAGAGATGAGGAAGATTATGGTTCAAAGCCAACCAAGGCAAATAGTTTGTGAGATCCTATCTCGAAAATACCTAACACACACACACAAAAAAAGGGCTGGTGGAGTGGCTCAAGGTATTAGCCCTCAGTTCAAACTCTAGTACTGCAAACAAAACAAAACAAAACAAAAAAGATTGAAAGTGGTTGTGGAAATAAGTTAAATATAAATTCTAGCTTAAATGTCATAAAACTGGGTAAAACAGGCAACAGCAAAAGTCATTCTTCTATGTCCAACTAATATTAATAAGAGGAATATAACTTAAAAGTATACAATAAGGAAGCATGATGCAAAACACCTTCAATTGAAGGATTCAAAAGATTTCAATCTTTTAACTCCAAATACAAATATTGGAGGTTTAAAACAATATTGAAACTGCTAAACAATGTAAAAGAATACACATAAATTTTTACACAGTAAGAAACCATAAAAGTCTAACATATATTTACATAGATATATATATATGTCATATATATATCATATGTATATGATAACTAAATTGAAAATGGGAATGTAGAAAGTAGAAAACAAAGAAAGATGACAAAACTACAATAGATAAAAATATATTTTATATAAATATTTCATAATTGTAAAAACCCTGGTTATCAAAAACAAAGACTTTCAGCTTTTGTTAAAAAAAATTAATAGTAAGGTATTTTAAATAGAAATAGAAAGTCATCAAAATGGAGAGGTAAGTGTATTCTTTAACAAAATAAAATAAAAGGAATGCAAGTTGTGTGTTATACTGGAATGATGGCCCTAAATCATTACCTTATCCTGAGTCCTTGTTACCTGCCTATAACTCTGAGATTCTCCCATCTTGAGGGGGATGACTTGCCCCACTCTTTAACATGGGCACAAAAATAGGGCTTGCTTTGGCAAATAGGACTTCAGGAGATTTGAAACAAGCACAGGCTTGAAATGGTTTTGTAGCTGGGGACTAGGTCTCCTGCACATCTGTCATCACCATGAAAACGTTCATGGCTTGACCTAATAGAATAGGAGATACAGATTTAAAGAAGTTAAGCTGTGCTAGTCACTTTTCAGCCCAGCTGACTGACAGCCCACCAAGGGCCAGGCATACTGGTGAATCCAACCTAAAAGAACAGTGCTTCTCAACCAATTCCCCATATGGATCCAGAAGTGGAAGCAATAATGGCTTCAGTTCAAATGCCACTAATGGTTTAAACTTTATTTTTGCATTACTTGAAATGTTTTGTGATTGATTTCATTGGTAATATTATTAGAAAGTAAAGAGAATAAAATGAAAGTTATCACATAACACAAAAAGTTTAAACTAATGTATTGTCAGACTCTTAATGAAGACCAAATTAATTCAATACTGCTAGATTTTAGGAGTAAAAAGAAAAATAATATTCTGAATATACAGGAGTCCTTGCAAAATTATCCTTCCAATATAAGGGAGAAATTAAAACATCCTTAAACAAAAGATAAAATTCATTGCCAACCCTCTTCCCCTGTATGAAAACTAGCAAGAGTCTTCCAGCTTAAAACAAAAGTACACTAATTAGTAACTTGAAATCATATGAAATTATAAAGTTCTCTGGTAAAAACAACTCCCTACTAATATAGAAAACAACATTATTGCAATTTTGGTTTATAACTTTTATATCTTCCAATGCATATAAATGCATAAAATAATTATAACACTATGTTACAGGGCACATAATATATAAATATGTTATTTTTTATCCCTCTAACATAAAGGCAGAGTGGAGCTGTAAAGAAAAAGATTTGTTATGCAATTGAAGTTAAGTTAGTATCATTTATGCTAGATTGCTATAATTAGTATGTTACTTGTAATCCAGATGAGAACCACAAAGAAACTATCCATAGAACATACACGAAATGAAATGAGAAGGGAATTAAAACATGTCATTATAGAAAGAAATCAGCTGAACACAAAGAATGCAATGAGTGACAAAAAGCCTTAAGACACACAGAACATGAGCAGAAGCTTTCCTACCAATGGTTACTGTAAGTGTAAACTGATTATAACCCACAATCAAAAGTCAGATTGGCAGAGTGGATAAAAAACACGGTCTAACCACATGTTATCTATAAGCAACTCATTTTGGATCTAAAGAGATGTATAGGCTGAAAGTTTAAAGATAAAAAATGGTAATGCAAACGACAGCGTAAATACTAACACTACTATCAAACAAATGAACTTTAAGCAAAAACCTGTTTCAGGAGACAGAAATAAACTATGGAACGGAAACAATTAAAACTCAGAAGGAAGCAGAAATGAAAAGCTTTATTTTATTGGATTTAGCTATGATTTTTTGAACATTACAAAAGTAAAATATAGATAAATTGGACTTCATTAAATTTAAAACATTTGTGCATCAGAGAACATTATCAACCAAGTGAGAAGGCAACTCAAACAATGGGGAAAATATTGACAAATCATATCTCTGATTAGGGATTAATATCCACAATAAATAAAGAACTTTTATAACTTAACAACTAAAAATCAAGCAACCTAATTTTTTTTAAAGTGGGCAAAGGACTGAAATAAATGTACCAATAAGAATATATAAATCACCAATAAGCTCATGAAGATGTGCTCAACATCACTACTCATTAAGAAAATGTAAATTAAAATCATAGTGAAACACCACTTCCAACTCCTTAAGATTGTTACTATGTTTTTTAAAAAAATCAGAAATTAATGTCTTTTAATGAGAATATACAGAAACTGAGAACTTTTGTGCATCCTTCACGGGGATGTACAGGGGTGCAGTTCTGTGGAAAACACTATAATGGTTCCTCAAAAACTTAAGATAGGATCACCACACGATCTAGCAATTCGATTTGTGAATACACACCCAAAAGAATTGAAGGCAAGAGTTCAAATACATATTTGTACACCTATGTTCATAGCAGTAGTATTTACAATGGCTGGAGGATGAAAGCAACCCAAGTATAATGAATGGATAAACAAAATCTCATCTACATAATTAAATATTATTCAGCATTGAAAAGGAAGGAAATTCTGACACATGCCACAACATAGAATATATTGACTATTTTATGCTAAATGAAGATAAGTCAGCCACAAAAGGACAAACATTGTATGATTCTACATATGCAATCTACCTAGACCAAAAGTGGATACATAAAGTAGAATGGTGGTTTCCAGGGACTAGGGGAAAAGAGAGAATAGGAAACTCATTAATGAGTACAAAATTTCAGTTTGGGAAGGTAAGAAGGTTCTGTTGGTGACAGTTTTTTGAAAATATCAAGGTACTTAATGCCATTAAAATTTCTGTATAATATCTACGAATGGAAATGAGAAGGGAATCAAACTGTACGCTTAAATGACTAAAATGGTAAAATTTTATGTATGTTTTATCACAATAAAAACAAAAACAAAATTTACAGAATCCAATTCTTGCCATGATGAATATCCCAGACTTGCCTTACTTCTGTAAACAACTATAACACTAAATAAAATATACAAAAAAAAGTTTAGATGTTGTACAAGAAGCATTTCCCTCTGAAGAGGAGGAAATGGTATTTTGAACCCTACATACAATCTAATACAACCTTTCAGCTTGGAGGTTGTATCTAGAATACAGTTCAGGAAGGGTGAAGCCAGTCATGGTGATCTTGCCAAATTGGAGACAAAGAGGCAACTGGAATTCGAATGGCAGAATGGTAGAGGGGAAGATTTAGAAAATATAAACAATTTTAAGATACTTATCTAGTATTTCTCAGATAAGTCACAGTAAACATGAAACAAAAACGAAAAAAGTGATTATATTTTATCATAATGAAACACGTCTGGTCCTCAAATAGCATGTGTCCATTGAATATACAGGCTTGTGGTATGCTTATCTGAAAAGTACTTGTGTTCAAACTATGTGCATATGTGTATGTAAGATGCATGTGTGGAATACATGTAATAAAAAGACAAAACAATTTGTCAAACTTGATAATAGAACTGAAGACATTTCACAAACAATTGGTATAATGTTTGTGAAGCGAAACTTCTCAACATCATTAGTCACCCAAAAAACATAAGTTGAAATCAAAACTATGTACTATTATACACCCACTAAATGGCTAAAATTAAAAACAATAAAAAACAAATGTTACTGAGGCTGTAAATCAACTGAAACCATTGTACGTTGCTGGAAGAAAACAAGTTGATAGTTTCTTACAATATTAAATGTGTACTTATATCATTTAGGTGTTAACCATTTAGAAATGAAAACATGTCCTCATTACAACTTTTTCAAGTTTATAGCAGTATTTTTTTTAAAAGATTCTGAATTTGAAAGAACCCATACAACGATCAAGAAATGTCTGAGTAAACAAATTGTGGTTATCTATATAATACCCAGAAATAAAATGTTCATACATGAACAATTGTGATGAATCACAAGAAAACATTTTGCTAAGCAGAGACTTTAGAAACAAAACTAGAAATTTCACTCATATGAAATTCTAGAAAGTATAATCAAATGCCAGAAAAGAGGCCTAGATTATATGAAATCAGAGGTGGTAAGGTAATTAATTGTAAAGAGGTGATTTGGGGCTCGGGAATTAATTATTATGGGTGATTAACATGGTTCTATGTGGTTACTTAATGTGGTTTTATAAGTCACATAAGATGTAGTATATAACTTTTTTCAAAACTCATCAAAGTGCACAAAGTATTATTGTATTTAGACAATACTTTTATAAAGTTATTTTTTTTAATTTATAGCATACTAAAGGTCTAATATTTTGCAAATAATACAAAACATATGAAGCTTTATATCATTTTGCTATTTTAAGATAAGGTCTCACTGTGTTGTCCAAGCAGGTCTTGAACTCCTTGACTCAAGTGAGCTTTCAGCTCAGCCTCTCGAGTGCTGATTGTTAAAGGCACACAACATCATGCCCAGTGTTAAATAACTTTTAAAAGATAGAATAATCCACATATGAGGGAGAATATGTGATTTTTGGGCTTCTGAGCCTGGCTAACCTCACTTAAGATGATCTCCAGTTCCATCCATTTACTTGTGAATGACAAAATTTCATTCTTCTTTGTGGCTGAGTGTAATTCCATTGTGCTGCAATAAACATGGGTGTGCAGATGCCTTTGTGATAACCTGAGTCGCATTCCTTCAGGTATACCCCTAGGAGTGGTATTGCTGGATCATATAGCAGATCAAGGTTTAGTTTCTTGAGATGCCTCCATATTGTTTTCCAAATTGCTTGTAGTAGCTTACATCCCTACCAGTGTATGATGGTTCCTTTTTGCCCCTGCATGCTCACCAATATTTGTTGTTGGTGGTGTTCTTCATGCTAGTCATTCTAACAGGGGCGAGATGGAATCTTAGTGTGGTTTTGATTTGCATTTCCTTTATGGCCATAGATCTAAAACAAATGTAGTAATATAATTGGACATGGGTCACACACTAAGAGAAGAACATGCAGGAGAGGAATAGGGAAAGGGAAGGAAACCTAAAACTTGAATGTGGTTGATGTGCTCAATGTACAGCAGAGAATATAGTAATCTTAAACTAGCAGAGGCCACTATGGGAAGGTGATTAGGAAGTAGTGAAGGCGACTAGGAAGTAGTGAAGAAGTCTGGCAGAGATGAACCAATGTGGGTTGCAATACACAAGTGCATGGAAGCAACACTAGGAATCTCTTCATATAGCTGTCTTTATCTCAAACTAGCAAAAACTCTATGTCTTTCTTATTATCTCTTATGTTTTCTCTTCAACAAAATCAGAGAACAAGAGGGAGGAACAGGTTCTGCCCTGAAGCAGGGAGGTGGTGGGAAGGAGTGGGGAGGTGGCCCAAACAATGTATATACATGTAAGCAAATGTAAAAATGATGAAAGAAAGAAAGAGGGAAGGAAGGAAGGAAGGAAGGAAGGAAGGAAGGAAGGAAGGAAGGAAGAAAGGAAGGATGGAAAGAAAGAAAGAAGCTAGAATAATCCTAATATCAAATATAAAAACAGGACAAACACATACATGTACACATAGTCACAGAGAGATACATGAGTTCTAGATCATTGTAAATCATGAAACAATCTAAAATCAAAATTCCCAAATAATATACTCACAAAATGCAGAGCATGAAACATGGTCAAGAGGAAACAATTTAAATTATAATATTTTATATAAGCTAAAATAGCAGTATAGTTTATCAAATTGATAAAATCCTGTCCTCTTCATGCTAGAATACTTGTATTAATGTGAAACCACTTATACTATATTTCTATTGAAACTAAGAAAGTATAAATATAAAGATATCTTCTGCCATATTATGATTTTTTTTCTTGGTGGCAATAGGGTTTGAACCCAGGGCGTTGTGCTTGCTAGGCAGGCAACTACCACTTGAGCCATGCCCCAAGCCTATCAATTAGTTTTTTAACATTATAAATTAGCAATAAGATTAAAAAAGAAACATGATATAATCACAAGAACGCAGCCGTTATTCTTTTTTGTGTCATGCAACATGAAAAACAGTCAAAGCTAAGGGATTTTTAAATAAACAATGTTAAGACAATTATTTGATTCTAGTTATATTAATTATTCCATATAAAAGTAAAATTATGTGGACTAGAAGAAATAGTTAATATGTACATGATCACAGATCGAGAAATTACTTTTTAGCATAAAGAAGGAATAAACAAAACCAAAAGATATGAGACTGACAGATTTTGTAACAAATAAATTTAAATTTTCTGTATCAAACACTATATACTAGCTCAAAGTTAAAAAAAAATATATATATATACTATGGAAATATTTGCAATTTAAGATAGAAAAAAGATAATATATTCATATATGAAGAGCTATAAAATAGGGGATAAAAGAAAGGATACCACAATTGAACACCAAATGAAGAATATAAACAGGTATTTTCAAATAAATAACTCATAAACATTAAAATCTGCTTAATCATCTTAAAAATCAATAAATGTGAATTAAAATATTACTATATTATTTTTATCATCATACCCATTGATTATTAACACTAACAAATGTATCTTCTAATATTTTAATAGTGAACACAGTATTTTGGAATCGATTAAATGTATGAGAATGAGACCGGAAAGAAAGATTATGATGAATCCATAAAATGAGTACTTTCTAGCATTAAGGAAATCAAATTTTGAAAAATTAGGAATAACATTAGAAAATATTTACTATGTAAAATTCCTGGGTTGTAACACATTTGTACATGAAAGCAATGCTAGGACTCTCTCTGTATAGCTGTCCTTATCTCAACTAGCAAAAATGCTATGTCTTTCCTATTATTGCTTATTTCTACTCTTCAATAAAACTGGAGAAAAGTGCAGAAATGGTTCTGCCTGGAAGGGGGTAGAGGGTGGGGGCGGGGGCAGGAGGAGAAATGACCCAAACAATGTATGCACATGTGAATAAATGAATAATAAAAAAAATCAAGATAATGAAAACATAAGATAAACCCTATAGATAATATATACCTATCTGTAGCCCATATAGAGACCTAATTTATGTATGATATGGAGTGTGTGTTTGTGTACCTATAATATGCTAAAACATATACATTTGTTTGTAGATATGCATAAATACACATTTCTTGTAACAGATCTAGTAGGATGTAGACTCATAACTTTGTAAGTTCCAAAGGTGTGACATTAGTCATTTTTTCTCTGCTTATGGTGTTTGTGTGTTCTATCTGTTTTGTATTGGAATATTTTCTTAGTTTTCTAAAATATTCATTTATTAGATGCATAATAAAGAAAATACTTTAAATTGACTCCATATAATTAAAATGAAAATAGCAAAAAAGTAATGTTAGTAGCAGAAACGTGAATATATCAGAAGAGGAAAAATATTGCTTTTTCGATCCTGTTTGAAAAATGAACAAATTGAAGTTCTGGAAATGAGATTAAGTAACTATTATTTATTTATTCAGCAGCAGCTGTTTTCTTTGCACTATATTCTGTTACAGTTTCCATGGCTGTGAAAATGAGAACTGGAAAATCCAAACAGTCCTGCATCGTGGACAGACCCAAGTGCCTCTTGCCCCTCTCAAGCTTCCCTTATGACTAAGAAAGTTCTTTCATGTCCCATCTCTGAGTCTCGTTTTCCTCATTTAAAAATTATTTTACTACCTTCTTTTTTTATAATTGACAAATCATAATTACACATTGTATGTGGTACAGTGTAATGTTCCAATCATGTATACATTGTATAAACTGTAAAATCATATCCATTCCCTCAAACATTCATTACTTCTTTGTATAGTAAGAGTCAAGATCTCTTCTTTCTATCTTGAAATGCACAATACGTTATTGTTAGATATTGACACATTTATATGTAATAGAGTTTATTCTCCCTTTGTAATTGTAACTTTGGACCCATTGGCTGACCTCCACCATAATTTGTATCTGTCATGTGTGAGTGCGATCTTGCAGCATTTGTCTTTCTATGCCAGTTTATTTCACTTAACGTAATGGTCTCATCTTTAAACAGAAGGTGTTGAGACAAATGGTCTCAGCTACTACAATATTCTTTTTATTGCAAACCATTTTCACGATTGGTGAAGTGCTCAGACATGATGTTAGGCTGTCTTGTAACTTTCAGTTTTGATGAAGCCAAGAATGCA